ATGTCTAGATTTAATAGTATCGCTATGTCCTATCATAGTTCAGAATTAAGTACAAACTTTCTGGCCAGATTTGTTTAATTTTATCGCTATTTTTTAAACATGTATATTTATTTTTTTCTTTTTATTTTATATATGTATCTACAAATACATTTGATATTATTAAAATATTTTAATAGTTATTAACCATTAATGACTAAATAAAATAATTACCTAAAGGAGGTACTATAAATATACTTAATATATATTAAATACAGATGAGGAGGAATGCTAAAGAAGATTCACCCGTCATCTCTAGTTTTGATTATTATCACATGTCTGTCTTATATAAAATTCAAAATATGGTTGAGATATAATTTCAAAATATTCAGATACCTGCAAAATATTTTATTATTTGAGAATTTTATTCAATCAAAAAAATGTAAATAAGAATTTTTTTGAGTATTCATTCAAAAAATGTTAATAAGAATTTATTTGATCAAGTAAAATGAGGAATAAGTTAATGAAGTAAATAATTGGTATTCATGATTCAAGTTGGAAGTCTTAAGTAATAAAATGTAAATAACAGATCAAATATCTTAATAATTAATTTAAAATATTCGTCCTCTAGTCGACACAAATTGACGACTCAAGTTGAAATTTTTAAGTACAAAATGTAAATAATAGAATCTTAAATAATAACATTTGATTTAAACTATTCGTCCTCTAATCTACTCAACTATATAATTTGTATTCACGACTCAACTGGAAGTCTAAAGTAAAAAATGTAAAAACAAAAAATATCTTAATTAATAATATTAAAAATATTCGTCCTCTAGTCGACTCATGTTCAAAGAACTTTTCTTCCTCTAGTCGACTCAACTTCAACTATATAATTCTTATTCACGTCAAGACTCAAGTTGGAAGTCTAAAGTAAAAAAATATAAAAAACAAAAAATATTTTCATAATAACTAATTTGGAATATTCATCATCTAGTCGACTAATTTATATAATTCTTCTCAGTTTTCACAATTCAAATTAGAAGTCTAAAGTAAAAAAATGTAAAAAGCAGAAAAAATATTTTAAATAAATTAATAATTAATTTGAAATATTCGTCCTCTAATCGACTTAAATTGACGACTCAAGTTCAGAGAACTATTCGTCCTCTAATCGACTTAAATTGACGACTCAAGTTCAGAGAACTATTCGTCCTCTAGTCAATAACTATATATTTTGTATTCACAACTCAAGTTTGGGGTTTAAAGTAAAAAGTAAATAACAACAAATATCTTAAATAATAATAACTAATTTGAAATATTCGTCCTCTAGTTGACTCAAGTTCATAGAACTATTGGTCCTCTAGTCGACTCAATTATTTAATTATATTCACGAGTCACGACTCAAGTTGGAAGTCGAAAAAAATACAAAAACTATCTTAATTAATAATAATAAATCTGAAATATTCGTCCTCTAGTCGACTCAAGTTGACAACTTGGGTCGACTTAAGTTCACGACTCGAGTTCACGACTTGAGTTTGAGTTAGTCGACATATTCGACTAACGACTCGAGACTCTGAGTCGGAGTCGGATGAACTCGACTTTTTAACAACACTAGTTTGCGATTTGGAGTGAAGAAGACATGATATTAGATGAAGACGGGATTGATTGGGGATGTTTAATATCTATAATGTTGTATGTGCATAAATAAAGATGAAATGTTTATTATATTTATTTAATATTATTAAAGGGATTGTTTTGGATTGTTAAGTTATATTCTTGAGAGAAAAGGGTTGAGAGTAAGGGGCATTTTATTTTTTTTCAATACCTATAATATGATTTTCAAAATAAAGAATTAATATAAAAGTTGATTTATGAGACTATTAAATTATCTTAAAATTTTGGGATAAAGAGATAAGACATATTGACTATTATTTAGAAATTTATTTTTTTTCGATTTAAATGAATTAAAAAATCTGTATTTGTGAGCGGTGATAATTTTAGGGTATTAATCGGGGAGAATTCGGAGAAGAATTGAGGGGGAGGGAGATTTAAGGGAAAAATAAAAAATCGGGGACTCAATGGGAAAAATAAAGGAAGTTAATTGCCGGGGGGCCTAATGGGTTAGATGTATGCTTGGAAACAGAAGTACGAACAAGGACGCAGGTTCAATCCTGGTGGGGGAACTGATTGGGGAGATAATTGGAGAATCGGGGAATGATTGATCTGAAATATATATACGTGACTTGAATTTTAAAAGGAGAGATACAAAAAAGAGGTTTGAAAGAAATTTGTTTAAAAGTTCAATAAATTGAGATGAATTCTAAAAGAAGATATACAAAATAGGTATTTGCAATTTACGTTAAAGTTTAATATAGTGAGATGAATTTTAAAAGAAGAGATATAAAATGTAAAAGGGGAGATACAAAAGAGGTGTTTGAAATTTGCATAAAGGCTTATTAAAATATTTGGATTTATAATTATTGCCCGAATAGGCTTGCCATCATATGTCGCTGTAAATAATAAAAGCACGACTTTTACTTAATAATAAATAACGCTTAAATAATAGAAGGCATCGTTATTTTAATATTTTGTAATCTAATAATAAAGCCATCACAAATTTAAGAAACCTCAAAAAAAAATAGAGTGGGGACGCTGATTTTTTTAAAATAGATGGGGTAGCTCTACTTTGAAAACAAACCTGGACAATATATATTTTTAATAATTTTTAAATAATCAATAATTGTCAAAATTTCTATGTTATATCCTTGTTTAAATTTATATAAGTTTAAAAATATTACACATGACAATTGTCATTTTTTATGTTATATCTAAAATATTTCAAAAAGTTAAATAATAACGATTATGACAATCGTCACTTTTCTATTGTACATCTTACATGTTTACAAATATCTTAACCCCGTCAAAATAATTTTAAAAAGTAAAATAATGATTATGACAATTGTCACATTTTATGGTGCATCTTTATCGAAATATAATTTTACATCTTGATAATATAAATTTTAACCTATTTGAGTCAAAAAAATCAAATAAATTAAAAATTACTATTATGACAATTGTTACTTTTTTATGGTACATTGAATTTTTATAACATGCTTACTTACCCATTTACTTTAAAAAAAAATAACATAAAAAAAATAATCCACTTTAACATTTTAAAATATGAAGATCGTTGATCAAAAATATTTTTAAATAAAAAATTGATCCAAAATTTTTTAAAAATAAAAGATCTTCAAATTTTACGATCTTATAAGATCGTTGCTCAAAATTTTAAAAAAATTAAAGATCTTCAAATTTTACAAAAATAAAGATCTTTTTATTTTGAGCAAATGTATAATTGTGCAAATTAGAATAGAGTAACTTACTTTGAAAGAAATAATAAATTGGAAATTTTCAAACAAGTTTTTCGGTGTCCACGGGCAGATTATGTGAATTTTAACATATAAATAATAAGTAAAACAATACAAGGCATTTCGTAAACTAAAGATAATATTTTATAATTCAAAATATTTATAAATTTATTAGATTATTAAAAATTTGCGATTGCTGTATATATATATGTTAAAAAATTTTTTAAATATTAATTAAAATAAAATTTAATAAATTTAATTTTAAATTCAAATTTAAATAATTATAATTTAAAAAATTTATAATAATTATAAAAATATAATATATAATTAATTCAAATAAATTATAATATTAATTTAAATAAATTATAATATTCGAATGACCTTTAATAAAATATATCGCGATTTCTACTTACGACGTTATAATAAAATATATCACTATTTTTAGTAACTTATTTCATTTTATTTTATATAATATTCAAATTTATATTTAAAAATAATATCATATAAAGTGAAAATTTTGTATATAGTAACACAATGTAATTCTTCATTTTAATTTAATAAAATCTTTTGCTTAATCCTCCTTGTCGTGATGTATTTCCAACATAGTGGCATCGATAAAAGTTTGTTATAAAATATTTTCCAGATCGTCTTTACCAGGGAAATCAAAATTCTTAAATTAAAATTAAATATAAACTTTAATTAAAACATATGGACGGTAAGCCTTTATTATTGGACTAGATACTGAAATATTCAAACATAAAAATTTATTGGTTGATATTTTCCCGAAGGCTAATGTTGCGTTGACGATAAAAATACAGACCAACCCAGGCAAAAACGATTCTTATATAACACGCAGATTAAAATGACTATGAATTTGATTATGATAACAATTATGCCAAAATATAATAAAAAAAAGACAATTTCAAGTTTTTTCAATTAAAATTAACTGCTCCACTTTATGATCAGGATTTCAGGGAGGGGAAAGCATAGGAAAATTTAAATATATAAATTCGTAAAATGATGATATTTAAAATATTAAAGATTTAATTAGATATTTGTAAATTGTTGATATATTTAAAATAAAATATGATACGTAAAATAAAATATTTTAATCCATAAATATTATAATTAAATAATACTTGATGATAATAATAAAAACTATTTATAAATTGTGATAACTATCCACGATCAGAGAAATTATGATGTCTGTTAGAAAGGAAAGAAAGAAGGCACTTTTAAATATTTCCTTTCTTTTCTGAATTTTACAACATAAAAAATAATAATCAATAAACGCCGATTTTTACATATAATATATTTATTATTTTTTATATAATAAATAAATTATTATAATACAACAATGTCTACAACACTTTAAAGGTTTCGAAACGGATAATCAAGATGACGACGACGATGAAGCTAATACTAAAATATATTGATGCCGCTTCATTGAAAGCCTCCTTCCTAAGGCTTTACCTAAATTTAAAAAAAAATCCATATTACATATTTTATTTTTTTTGTATATAATAATCCTTTTTCCATATTTTAATTTTATGTTCCTATATTATAACATAAAATACATAAATTATAAGCTAATGACATCTACTACGTCAAAATTTGATATGTACCCAAGTCACGAAATCAACTAAGGTATCAGATGTCACAGGTCTCATGGCTTTGATAAATGTAATCATTAAAATCATATGATGTGATGTTTGTAATGTGCGGTTTTCCCACGATTTCATTAGAAAATATAACCAAATTTAAAAAAGTAATTATTCTTTCATATTCTTCATATAATTATCCATATTTTAAGATTTTATGATAAATAAATAACTTCATTTATCATCAACAATTTTACTTTTTACTATAACGATGTTTTAATTGATAAATATTTTACCAACATCATTTAAATTATTTAATTATAGACCATTTTTTAAAACTATTTTTAATTATTTAAATGGTTAAATATTATATTTATATAAAGGTCCCTTTTTTTACATTCTAGTTTCCTTTTTTAAAGAAATTATCTTTTTATAGTTTTAATCACTCATGCCTTTATTGTAAAATGTTTATCAAGATTAACAATAAATTTATTTTATCATAAAATTAACAAATAATTAAAATCTCTCATATTTATTAAAAAAAATAATATTAATAATTAAAATAAAATTAATATTAAAATTAACATTTCAAATATAAAATAAAATAAAACAATATTATATAAAAATGGAGGTGGGACTACAAGTTCCCAAAAAACATGAGTAATTATATTTTAAAATAGTGATTTGTAGGTTTTGTTTTAAAAAATAGAAATCTTTTGGTTCTGATGCAAGGGCTCTTGTCTTATCCGGCCTATATTTTTTAAGAACTTTAAAGTTCCGCTTGGCATATGTCCAAGGGAAGAGATAACGATCGGTGTAAAAATATAATTTATGAATTTGGAATATTTCATTGTTTTTTTTCCCAGCTATATTAAACGGATTAGAATTTAAATTTTTTGGGAAGAAGATATGCATGTGAAGTCCCAAATTAAGGATTTCCCTAAAGACCAAGGCACAGAAGTTAAGCCATCTAGTCAAGCCATCATCTAATGATAAATTTGTAGGCTCCAGGATGCTTGGTATTTGGGCCCTGGTAAGAGAACACTAATAGCTAAATTAATTGCTGCATGCCTTGCATGCCTGCCTTGACTATATATACAATTTAGACCATGTTTAATTATATTTTTACATAGATCGTTATCTATTCCCTTGGACATATGCCAAGCGGAACTTTAAAGTTCTTAAAAAATATAGGGGATAAGACAAGAGCCCTTACATCAGAACCAAAAGACTTAAATTTTCTACAAATCACTATTTTAAAATATAATTACTCATGTTTTTTGGGAGCTTGTAGTCCCACCTCCATTTTTATATAATATTGTTTTATTTTATTTTATATTTGATATGGTAATTTTAATATTAATATTTCTATATATATTTTTAATTTAAAAATAAATGACATGAGATATTAATAATTTTGAATCATAACAAAATAACATTTTTAAAATTGTGATCCTGCTAATGGTCTTACACGATTTTTTAAAAGGTATTGATTTCTATTTATATTTTCTGAATTTTTTTTTATAGTACATTACAATTATTAATTACTTTTGAAAAGAAATAATTGGTTATTAATTATAAGTAATTAAACTATTTTATGAATAATATTACAATGAATAATTTTATCCTAAATAGTGTTAAATTTAGGCTTTGTTTGATAACAATCATAAGAATTTTAAATTATAATATTTTTAATGAAATATAATAAATCATTAATATAATAATATTTAATTATCATTTTTATATGGTTATTACAGTTAAACATTATGTTATGTATCAATTTTTTTTTTAAATCCACTCTTTCTTTTTTTATGAGTAGACACTTATTTCCTCAATGTTTATACTAACAAAATGCAATTGTATTCTAAAAGATCACCAAATATATTTTTATTGTTTATGCAGCCAGGAAAGGAGTGCTAAAACATTAAGAAAAGTTTTTTATTTTAATGGAATATACCAATGATTGGATCACATCTTCATAATGATAATCATTTTTCCCTTTGAAAATAGGAGATAAAATTTTCCAATAATACTTGTTAAAAATTATAGTTAAGTTCAACACTCTTAAAATTTATGATTTGAATATTGAAATATCTTCATAGTCATTTTCATTTTCTTGAAAAGGTCAAATCCTGATTCCAGTATTTATAAATAAAATAAGGGAGCACTATATAATGGATGAAAAAACCTTTTTTTGAGAAAAAACAAACAAAAAAACAATTGTAGTTAAAATTAATTTTTTAATTCCACTACAGTTTTTATGGAAAATATAATTTATCAACATTTTGTTGTACCTTCTTGCAGACTGGTGGCAAATTTTTTAGATCTAGGCCAGACCCATACCCACTGCAGCCTGAGTTTTTAAAATAATAAGAATATTAATCTTATTCTCCATTCTAATTTTATGCATAAAATATAAATATTCAGCAATATTTCACAATGCTTATCTATTTTATTTATTTCTATGAAATGAATAATAAATATCTAATTTAAAATTTTCCTTATTTTTAAAATTCATTTTATAATTGTGATATTTATTCAGGCAAGAAAAAGATAATAGGAAGAAAAACATTAATATTTTTCAGACCATTGGTTTGGACTTGGCCTATATTGTAGGACTTTCAATTCTCAATCATCTTAAATATTTTGAATGTTTTTTGACAACAAAAGTTTTTTTTATAAATTTGCTTTTATTTTATGTTTTTTTTTTATAATGGATGAGATACTTTATTCAAATAACAAATTTCACAAATTTTATTTACGAATTATAATTAAAAAAAAATATATATAAAAACTAATAATATATTAAAAATGAATTAAAAAATATGTATGTATAAAAAGAGAAATGAGATAAAAAAAAAATAATAAAATAAAATTCTTTTTTTAAAGGTTTTTTTTCCCTTTTTTTTCACATCTGATGGAAATAAGCTAAGATTTAGGTTTGTGAGCCATAATTCCCATTGGCTAACTTTTATTTATCTGTCATATGATTGGTTGAATTTTTTTTTAATACTATTATTTTGTTGAATGATATTTTTATTATCGAAAACCATTGCACGTTAAATTTTACACAAATTTTGGTTTAAAATATTTTTTTATTGAATGATATATTTATTATAGAAAATTATTTAGCCATTTTTTGTAAAAAGATAAATAAAAATGAGATGGTTAGGATAAAATATAAGTAGGTAATTATAGATTATACATAAAGATGCTCTGCAGATTTGTAATTTAGTTACCTATGATACTTTCTCAATGGTCACTTATGTCATTACTTATATGCTTTATTTATAAATACATATTATAAGAGCATACAATATAAAATTTTATAACAAAATATATATTCTATATATTTATAATAGGAAATGCTTGATTAATATTTTCTAAAACATACTAGCTATGTAATCATTTATAAAGTGGGACCTCCCAGATTTAATATATTTTGTTTTGAGGTTGCACCAAAGTTGCACCAAAGACGCTCTATGGACTGGGTATCTTTGCTTCTATTGACCGGGATAAATATTTTATATATTTATTCTCACTATAAAAAATATTTTAAACATTTATAAAAAAAATATTAAAATTAAAAAAAAAATATGTATAAAAATTAACAACCAATGGTTTTCGATAATAAAAATATCATTCATCAAAAAAATACTAAAAAGTAAAAATTCAACCAATCATATGACAAATAAATAAATAAAAGAAAATCATTGGTAATTATGGCTGGCAAACCACAATCTTACCGGAAATAAATGATCAAATTAAAATAAAATAAAATAATCTACCTTATAATATTGATACACAAATTATTGCAAATAAAGATGCTTTGAAATTTTAATTTATTAATTCAAATATATTTTTGATAATTTAATTAATTAAATTGACGCTACTCGAAAACAACAATTTTTTTAAGAATAAAATTACACCGCTATCTAATATATGATTATAAAACAGATAAAAAAAACGAATAAATAACGTTCAACTCTATATATCATAAAATATGGGGGCAGATAAATGTTGTTAAATGATCCATTACAGTCCCCGTACAAAATTCTATGCTGTTTATTTATTCACAAATTCCCATTTTTATTTATTTCTTCTTTCTTTCTTTCTTTCTTTCTTTCTTTCTTTCTTTCTTTCTTTCTTTCTTTCTTTCTTTCTTTCTTTCTTTCTTTCTTTCTTTCTTTCTTTCTTTCTTTCTTTCTTTCTTTCTTTCTTTCTTTCTTTCTTTCTTTCTTTCTTTCTTTCTTTCTTTCTTTCTTTCTTTCTTTCTTTCTTTCTTTCTTTCTTTCTTTCTTTCTTTCTTTCTTTCTTTCTTTCTTTCTTTCTTTCTTTCTTTCTTTCTTTCTTTCTTTCTTTCTTTCTTTCTTTCTTTCTTTCTTTCTTTCTTTCTTTCTTTCTTTCTTTCTTTCTTTCTTTCTTTCTTTCTTTCTTTCTTTCTTGCTTTCTTTCTTTCTTTCTTTCTTTCTTTCTTTCTTTCTTTCTTTCTTTCTTTCTTTCTTTCTTTCTTTCTTTCTTTCTTTCTTTCTTTCTTTCTTTCTTTCTTTCTTTCTTTCTTTCTTTCTTTCTTTCTTTCTTTCTTTCTTTCTTTCTTTCTTTCTTTCTTTCTTTCTTTCTTTCTTTCTTTCTTTCTTTCTTTCTTTCTTTCTTTCTTTCTTTCTTTCTTTCTTTCTTTCTTTCTTTCTTTCTTTCTTTCTTGCTTTCTTTCTTTCGTTAGGTTTTTTTTTTCAAAATTAGATAAATTGGGATGTTTTTTTAAAAAATGGCCCTTGAATTCATTTCCACCATGCGCCAAAAGATTTAGCAAATTCCTGATACATTATACGATTTTGCAACCGATTTAATTTAAATTTTAAACAAATTATTTCTAACCAATCCGGCCCATGTTTCTATATAAAAAAAATTTAAGCCCAACTTGGTTTGGATTTTTTTAAAAATTAATATTATTTTTTTAATCCGCATCTATTTCTTTATTATTTAGCCCCTTGATAAAATGAGCCTTATTTTTTGGAACAGTGGACTAAATTATTTTAGAGAAATAGAAGGAAGGAAGAAAGAAAAAAGAAACAATTCTCCAAGCCTTTCTTAATTGAAAAATAAAAACATATACTATAGATTTTTTCAAAAATGTAACATACATTTTTTTTCGTTAAAATTATTAAAAATTAAAGTTTTCAAATTTTTCAAAAATAATAATTCTAGTTTTATACGGACAAAAAAAATATATATTATAAAATATTTCATCCAATTATTTCATAATTTCGGTATTATTCCCTTTTGTTTTTTTTTCTCCCGTTTTTTTACATTGAAAAAAAAATAAGAGATGAATTTTGACATCTTAATGATAGTTCTAGAAATACGCCATAATACACGGCATATTATTATTTTTAGGCTAAAAATCACATGATATTCTAGCAGTTATTTAGAATTCATGAAAAAATACGAGTTACCTCCTCAATTTTTTTTCTTTCTACAATTCCATATTAGAGTTCTGCATCGGACCTATATTTAGTCTACTGGATCTATGAAAAATTTAACATTTCCGATAACAAAAATAAAATATGGCTGATATCGTTAGATACCGAAAAAAAGGGGATAGGTAAATATTGATAAAAATCTTAGCAAAATAAAATAAATAATCGAAATGATGCGCTAGGTAAAATAAATGAAATAAGATATAAAGGCTGTCATCATTTACTTTAAAATGATTGACAGAGCTTGAAATGCTCTTCAAAATAAATAAATGTTAAAAGAGATTTTGATCACTTAAGATTTTTTTTTTGACAATATTTCGAATTGAATACAACTTTACCTAAATAAAAAATCTTTGGATAAATATTTTTAGATCATTTTCTCCATTATAATGTTATTCAGATTTTAAATAAATAGGATCGGTTGATATTGGAAAAATAAGATAGGATCGGTCTTTTATTAAAATAATTTATCCGGAATGTTTAATTTTGAAAAAATAAACAATATTTTTCTGTTTTTTTTAAAAAAAAACAAACAATATATATTTATTATTAATCAAGTTTATATTTTTTAAACGTAATTGATTTTTCGGGAAAAACTATTCAAGATCAAAAATTTTTTTTAAAGGTATTGCGTAAATGAAATTTTTTTCTCTTTCCGTCCTTCAAATGCGCGTTTGAAATTATAGATATATATGCGTATATTGTATTTTTAATATTTAAAAAAAAACCGCCCTCAAGTTTTTTTTCAAAGCGGTTTCCTAAACATTTTTCGAGCAATTTATATTTATTTATTTCAAAACAAAGGATAATAATTTGTCCAATTAATTTTTTTTAAATATAATATATAGCAGAGACCTACAGAGTTATAATTTGCACGGTCCTAACCGGCCCGGGTTTGAAGAAAAAATATCGGGCAGTATGTGTAATTTTTTTTCTACGGCTTTAGTTTTAAAAAAAATAAAATAAATATTACCTATTCTGGATTTTAGATCAGCGAATATGAAAATAATATAATGATAACTTCCTGTCGTAAAAAGAGTGAGTTTGCATCGTCACACTTTCGATTTGACTGTTCGATAGTAATTCCATTATTTCCTGTTCCTTTTGTAATTTAATATAGTCTTTTAATATAAGTATCAGTCATTTTCTGCTCTCACCCTTGGAAACATTCGTAATTGTCCGAATTGGGGACGGAGAAAAAGAGAAATAAAATCATACTTATCTAAGAAAATAAGTTTTTCCCTTAAAAGGTTTATAATATATTTAAATATTGAGTGTATCTTTTTGATTAAATATCACCTAAAATAATGATTAGTTGAATAATTAATTTTGAATAATATTTTCTAAGGATCGAAAAAAATGGAAATAAGAAATATGATGATAAGTGAATGAATGTGATATAGCACAATTTTTAAAATGTGTTATATTTATTTTTAATTTTTATAGATGATAATGATGGATTTAAAACATTCGGTTATAAATCCGGCACGGGTATATTTAAATTAAAAAAATACGACCCAGTCCAAGTACCCGGGCCGGGTTTAGTGCCGGGCTTGCAGGTCTCTGATATATAGTATCTGTATATAGTATCTTAAAAGCATGATGGTTTGTACATCGAACGTTCTGTCTGGAAATGGTCTTTTACATATATTCTGACAAAAAATAAACAACCCATCCTCCGAAAATTAAAAGATTTTTTTTTTGTAAGCCAAGTACATTTGAACTTGTATATCGACCTAATTCGGATTAAATCTATTTATTTTATTTTTTTTTCAAAAAAAGAAGAAAACATATTTAATTGCATTCATTTACGTAATAACATCTAGGAAAATGAAATAAAATAATTTTTTTTTTCTTCAAAAATTTGTAAAATTAAATTTAGATCATTAGCTAATTCATTCATCGACTCAATAATCGCAATGCTCGCAGTGATTAGATTTAGGCCTAGATCCTATAAATTACGAAGCCCTTCGCATTGTATTATCGGAAAAGGTCATTGTAGTCGATCTTATTCTATCACACATTTCACGAATGACTGGACCAATAAATTAAAAGTATTATATACATTTTAAGCCTATTAATTACGAATAGTAAATTATTCGATTCGTTTAAGTCAATCGAATACGAATAATTCGTTATTCGATTTTTATTGCAAAGTCTTTAATAATTAAAAAAAAAATTTTTTTATCTTGATTTTATTTTATTAATTATTAACTGCGAAATAATGAAATGAAAAATTTAACGAAAACAAGTTTGAATGTATGATTATATAATTTATTTCTGCAAAAAGCCTTTAACTTCTTGGAGGGGGGGGGGTTTAGGTTAGAAAGTTTAAAAAATAATTTTTGAATCACGGACAGAAATTTTCTGGACAAAAAGCATTGGAAAGAATAGTCCAATTAAAGAAATTTGTCTTAAATGATTAAAAAGTAGTAATTTTAAAAATGTTTACAGGCATTTAATATATTTTTTATGTTTGAAAATTTGGGTATTTTTGTCAAGTGTCTTTTTGTCCATATATTTTTGTCAAGGGTATCCCTGTCTTTTTTGCCCAGGACTTTTCTGCCCGCAATTCACCTTTTTTTAAAAAAAGAAAGGTTTTGTATGGGTCTAGATTGTATATTTTACATGATTCTATTATGGGTTTATCATAGATAATATTATGTTAATTAGTAATAGTATTTATATGTCCTACGATAATTACAACTACTATAAATTGTTCGCGCTTATTATATTTGAGGTTTAAAAAGCAACATAATACATTTAATTGATAGAGTGAACCGGCTAAGCTAACTTTAGCGAATGGTCAAGTGATTAAGGGTTACTCCTTCGGTTACCCCCTGTCATCTTCGGGCGAAATGGTCTTCAATACCGGATTAGTAGGGTAAAATTAATCGTTAATTATAATTACCGTTTCAAAAATTTAAAACACGGGAATGATAAACCGGGACAAAAACACGCCATATTTGTTTTTAGAGGAATAAGGGAATGTAGCGAGAAACCTAATTTTTAAAATAATTACCTTAATACACCGGACGTGCTTTATGAACGTTTTATATAATTAGTAACAATCTGAAGGTATAACAGGAAGTTCACCATTTTTTTTTGATCTTAAAAGAACCGAAATGATGCGGAACAGAAAAAATAAAGTGTTCTTGTTCCGGGATCCTTGCTTTATAACAATGGCAATGAGACAAAAAGGTTTGACCGGGGATCACATGATTATTACCAAAATAAACTAAAAATGGGAACTTTTAAAAAATTGATCATTTTATTTTCAAAGACATTTTAATTTTTATATTGTTGTTAAATGGCAACTCAATATTTAGGCCAGAAAAAAATTAATCAAACGCGAAGATTTTGGTCATAGATGGCATAAAGATTAAGACACCTATTGACTAAATCTCGAAGCGTGTGCAATATTTTCCTTTGCTGGAATATTGAGTTAGCCGTTTTTAAAAATTGGTTGAAATTCAGCCCGTTTAACAATACTAAATTTTTATATGTTGTCTGAAAATACGTTTAAAAATAAAATAATAATAAGGATGATTTTGAAAAAGTAAATTAATTATCTATAATTTTTTTTTTCAATTCGCAATAATTGGAAATTAATCAATCATTTTTCTCGCTTAAAAAGAAAATGTTTTCTCTCAAAATATTTTTTTTGTGTATGTTTCAAAAATTTTGAATAATTTGGAAACTATGTTGCAAGGTACATCCATCCATAGTGCTGTTAAAATAGGTTAATTGCTTACTATTAAGTGAATGTATGGAAATATTCTAAATACCAACCTAATTTGCTAAATACCGACCAAATATTATTAAAATGTAATAAGACCCTTATTATTTAATATATTAATATGGAATCACGTGGTCGAGTCCGGCCTCCTATATATTATCCCCCCAAGGATGGAACCACCAAGTTAGATTAAGAAATAAAACATGACCATTCCCGGGATTTGAACCCGGGACCATGGGATCAGTAAGCCAAGCTCTTGCCTACTAGGCCATAGAGGCTTTCCAAAAATCACGATTTTTAATATATATATTATAAATATATTTGGTAGTGCCTATCCAAATGAAAGATGGACAAAATTCAAATTTGATAGGTAGTACCTTAAGGTAGGCATCATTAACCGTTAAAATAACTAGATTTGAGCTAATTATTTAAAAACGGCCAACATCAATATTTTATTCAGAAAAAATATCACGGCAAGGCTGGAGATTATGCTCCTAGATGTTAGAAAGGTTTGGACATCTATCAGTGAAATCTCGAGGCTTAGGCAATATTTTTCTGGCTAAAATATTGAGTTAACCCTTTTCAGAAATCGACTTAAAACGAACCTTTTAACAACATCTACACCCATCACCTCAACTAATACTTTTTTTTTCATCCCAAAAAATTCGAATCAATTTTTATAAAACTTTATCGAAAAGAAGAAATAAGCTTTTTTTTAAAAATATAAAAATAAAAACATAATACATAATTCTAAAAAAAAGTTCAAAAATTTAACATATATGATTTTATTAAAATTTTTAAAACTTCTGAAAGTTTTATAACTTTTCGGATGTTAAAAAATATTTTGGGTATAGTCTTAAAAAAATAATATGTAATTTCTTTTCTTTGTTTTATGGAAAGAAATTCAAATCTGTGTGAGGTGGGGCAGGTTGGGCCTCCAAATTTGACTTCTGTAGATCTTTTAGTTAAATCCTTTTTTTTGTCACTTTTTTTGTAAGGTCAGATTATATTTTTCTTTTTAAAAAGAATATATTAACCCGGGTTTTTATTTATTTACCTTCGGAATAATAATAGGTTTTTTTTAAAAAAAATCCTAAGAATGAATCAAAAAGAGTGAAATATGGAAAAAAATTATGATTGATTCATTAAAAATGCATTTAAAAAGTAAACAAACATTGAAGTCCGCCACTTAGAGGCGTTAGACGAAATATAATGGCTTTACAAACAGACAATGACACTGAATACAGCTGAATAACAAATGTCTATGTCTAGGTTAGTTTTAGGTGTGGGTATTTGAATATCATTTTGCTTTTATAATATTAAAGAAGGTTACATGATAAAGAAAAAAAATTTGCCTTACAAAAAAAAATAAAGCGCTACTAGATGTCATTATTTAGAGTGCGAATGCCATTTTATTTAAAAAAGATTTTAACCGAACACTCTTTTTTGCACTTTTTCAGCGACGTCATTACAAAATAAAATGATTTATGAGTCCTTTAATGATAAGTTTTGTTCAAAGTTTTGGAATCTGAAACCATCACTCGGGTTATCTAATAACCGGAACTATATTCCTGCACTGGTCTGTGGGAGTTGCCCGAGTTCGTCAACTCGAAAAAGGATTTGGTCGGACCAGACCTAATTTTATAATTTTGATTTTCGGACCGGATTGAAGGGGTGGGGGAGATATCGCTGGGAGGGAAGTCAGACCCGAACTTAGTCCTAAATTTTTCTTCGAACCTGAAGAGGGACCTAAGGAAATGAGACTACTTTATTTTGAACTTGAAGCATCTTTCCCGAAAAAATTTAGAAACTAAAATCCTTTTTTAGTCTTGGTTCCAAATTTTCAGCCATTTTGGTATCATATTTATCCATTTTCTTTTACAAACATTCCAAAATAAAATGTAATATTACGAATTAATCGAAACCAAAAAAAGCGGAAAATTTTTATTTGAGGTTCAATAATATACTTTAATATTCAAAAAAAATATTAAATACGTAAAATAGATGTTATAATTATAAACAATTATTTTTTTTAGTTATCCAGAAGCATTAACCGATCCGTCCTATTGTGGCCAAATCCTGACATTTACCTATCCGATTCAAGGTAACTATGGGGTACCGGATACCCGGTTATTGGATCAGTACGGTTTGCATAGATACATCGAATCAAATAAAATTCAAGTTTTCTTATTTTTTTTAATCTCACTTATCTTTTATCCCTATAAATAATTTGTCATTTACGGTAAAACAAAATAAATAATAGGCCTTATTCTTAGAAGTTGCTGAACTCAGGGTAGGAAGGAACTATCTATATGCGAATTTTTTTGTCTATAGGTAAAAGGGCTTCTGGTTCAAGATTACACTTCCAATTATTCACACTGGAACGCGAAAACATCGTTACACGAATGGCTAATCGAACAAAAAATACCGGCAATGTATGGCGTGGATACTCGTTTGATCACCAAAACCATCAGGAATAAAGTTTTTTTTTTCTTTACAATTTTATATATTTTTAAATGATTATTAATTTCTTTTGGGATTTTTTTAAAATATAAATGGCCGATTTCCAAAAATTCATGGGTTCGAGCTGATATTTTGTCTCTTGATATTTTATTTCTCCAAATCGCGAGTGTAGTGTTGTTAAACGGCTCGATTTGAGCCGATTTATTAAAAAAACGACTAAATCAATATTTTACCCAGAAAAATATTGCGTCAAGCTTGAAGATATTGCAGATAGATGGCACAAAGGTTTGGACATATAGTAATGAAATCTCGAAGCTTAGGTAATATTCTTCTCGCTAAAATATTTAGTCAGATTATAAAAATTGATTAAAGTCGAACCTTTTAACAACATTAGTCTTGAACATATCCCAATAATTAAATATCAGTGTTGTTTAAAGCTACTTTTAAAAGTTGCGCGCTATTAATTACCTTAATAAAAAGTAGTTAATAAAGTTGCTTTTTATCCTACTTTCTAATATTTTTTAAAATATTTTTTACATATCTCTATTTTCACAGATAAAAAATATGACTTAAATTTCAAATATATACATATATAATTTATTTATTATTTATTGGATCTCTATAATAATAACATTCCCATTAGAGATCTACAAATTACGACCCGACCATACCCCAGCCGGGTCTATTTTTATATAATAATTTCGGTTCGGGCGCGGTTGGGGGTAAATTTTAAAATATGATAGCATTATATTTTGTCAAATAAATTGATATATATTAAAATTCTTGCAAGAAATTAGGCGCTTTTTATTTGTAGAATATTTTGTTTACAATAAAAAAAAAATTTAAAAATTTTCTATATTTAAATAAATTCGGGCCGGGCCGACAAATAATTTTTATTTCGGGTCGGGCTTTTCGTGACAAATAAAAAATTTCGGTTCGGGCCCGGCTACATAAATTAGGCCTGATGCAGACTAATTTCCATACTGTCATCTTCAAGTCTAGAGCGACGATCAGAAAGTAAGCTATGACTAAATAATCGTTCAACATTATTTAGCACACAATGCAGTATTAATTAATATACATATTTTTTATATAAGAAAAATCATCAAAAATATTTGTTTGCGTATTTTTAGATTTAAAAAAATGAGGTGAAAAGGATTTTCAAAAGTATTATCATTTATTTCATAAAAATCATCCTTAGTAGGTGGCGTTTTTGATCTGGCTAAGTATCCACCTTTAACTTTTTATCGAATGAACAAATTTCTCTCAAAATTGGTTATGTGAAAGGATTGAAATAACTATTTTTTTTAGCATATTTTGATAAAATTTATAAATATATATAGGTGAATGATTACTTTAAGCATGTTTAACATCCAGATAATAATTTATAAAATATTATCAATAAATTTATGAGACTTATGATAAAATGCAAATGTTAATATTCATTATTTATTGCAATTTTTATGGTCAGCTGAAACATACTTTTAAATGTTTCCTCGCTGAAGCAACTAGCCTTGTTTGATGATAAAACCTTACGGCGCACCTTACAATAAAATTTATACCCTGTGTTATTTTTTTATCAAGATTAAAATATTTTGTGAATTTAGGAAAAGGAAATTCCATATTATCATCATTTCCCAGAGAAATTACTTTGTCAATATGAACTGTACTGTGCCAAAATTATCTAAAATACCAATCTCTATCGACATTTTAAATTATTTTTAAAACTAGATTTATAACGTAGATTTTTAAATAAAATTTTAAAATAAAATAAAAAGATTATGATTTTAGTATTAAATATATATTTTAACAATTTATGTGTATTTATTATACAATTGAAAGTAGCGAAGTGCGCTACTTCCTAAATTAATAGTACGCGCTATTTTAACAACACTGCTAAATATCATGATATAGGGATTTTGTCAAACTGAGTTTTACTGGACGATGCCCTTTTAGATTTCAATTTCTATAGGTGTCTTGGATTACCCTTTAACTTACAATACCCACTTGATTTCCACCACGTTCGAGTAACTAGATTACTTAAAAATTTAATTACTTAACTCTTAGTCCTCCTCGTTTTTCTAGAGATAAATCGGCACATACTAATCGATAAATTATCGTATTTTCATTTTAATTTTTTAATTTTTTAATCGTTATTATGTTTTTATTATCGATGCCCTTATCGAGCAAATAAAAATAAGAGAGATTAGCAAATTTTTTTTTGCAACTAATAGCTATACATTTTTAATAGTACATTATTTCTTTCTCTTATCTCAAAGTCGAAATCACTTCTTCTTTTTTTTAAAAAAAAATAAAATAATAAGAGCTAATTTAAATTGGTAATAAAATATATTTCATTTTTTTCAGGGGAACAATTTGAATATTTAATCTTTTCTTTCGATTTACAGTGCAATTGTTGTTCTTATTGCTTATTAAAAATCCGAACTCCTCAATTACTAAAATGGATATTTATGGTCGTTTTCTTAAAGATTAAATATTTTATATATTAATATATATCTAAATGTCGTATTGGTATATGAAATTCATGGGGGGGGGGGGGGGTTTGATACACTGAGGGCGACTCTCAAATTTTATTAATCTGACCGGAAATTTATTCCAGCATTTATAGGGTGCTTACATTGTGAATTTAGGACAATTTTGCCTCAACTTTTACCTATTCATAATTTTTATTAATTTTAATTGATATTTTTAATATAATTTTTTTTTTTTACCAAAAATATACAAAATTCCACTGCAAAATTGTCGGAAATTCACAGTGTGCACTCTACACATGCTGGAATAATATTTTTATTCGAATTAGATTTATAAAAATTTAAAAGTCTTCCCTTAGTATAACTTTAAAATTGACAGATTCATAATATACCCACGAATGTCACAATACAACATTTTTTATTTGATTTCATAAAATAAACTATTTTTTTTTAAAAAAAATTATTAAATCTTCCATTGTTAAAATATTGAGAAAGAGAAATGTTGAGATCAGATATTAATTTAGAATCCTTAATTTCCAGTATTATTGCCTATATCTCGGAACTCCTTTTACATTTAGGTATCTCAAATTAGAGATCTGCAAAAGTAGGCCCCGGCCCGAACTAATATTTTTTAAGAAAATTCGGGCCGGGTCGGGCCTTAGAAATTTGTTTAAAATATATCTAAATTTATCAATTTTATGTTGAATTTTTAATGTAAAATAAAAATATGATTTTATTTATAGAAAGTAGACGCCAAATAACATGTATCGTTTATTTTGAGTAATTATAAAATTAATTTCTATATTTAAATAAATTCGGGTCGGGCCGGCAAAATTTTTTTAAAAAAATTTCGGGCGACCGGGCTTGAAAAATTAGGCCCGATGCAGATCACTAATTCAAATCATTCAACATATGTTTTATATAACCCGACACAGGGCACTCTTCTAGGAAAAATCGAATTCGAAAACCAGCCAATCGATTTTTACGATCCCAATGCGCACAATATCCTTCCCCACGTATCCATAAAATCGCCCGCGGTTTATTGCCCCGATAATCCTTACAAGATTATAGCCGTTGACTGTGGCATCAAAAATAATATTATTCGAAATTTAATTAAAGTAAATTTTTTAAACACCATGATGTTCGTCGTAAAAGTCAATAAATTTATTTAAAGGATGTTCAAATTAATTCGCTACCTATTTTTAGAAAGTCTTTTTTTTTTTGAGTAAAACAACATCTACGTTATGCGATTTTTATAGAAAATATTATATAAATATATTTTTTGAAATGTTTCCACAAAACTTTTTTTTTATTATCGATTTCTGTCAAAAAATTTTATTATTTTCTAACAATATTTATGTAGAGAGGTGGATGCGTTAAAGTTGTACCTTGGGATTACGATTTTACAAAAGAACCCTACGACGGACTTTTTATATCTAATGGCCCCGGAAATCCTATCCACGCCGATAAGACTATCCAACATTTAAGCAAAGTTTTTGATATTTTTTAATAAATAAATATACGATAATTATTTCTGTTTTTTTATATATATATAATCGAATGTTGTAAATAATCATCTTTTTTTAAACGCAACGCATTCGTAAACAAAGTTCGTTTTTTTTTTGACAAACGCGTTCTTGTTTCGTTCAATTTTGAAAAATCTTGGTTTTATACATTAAAATTAATATTAAATTTTTTAAGAAAAAGGAGTTATGTTATAATCAGCTGTTTCCTATAACATTTTAATTTTTTTTTAACACTACTATTTTTGTGTTATAGTATAAATTATTAATTAGATTTGTTATTTCATCATCTGATTCTTAAATCAGAATTAGATGAAATAACTTTACCATGGCACAAAGGTAATAAATATTTCACAGTAACATCTTATATTAAAGGAACCTCAATCCCTATCAAATGTAAAATGAGTCCAAAAATTATAATATAAGTTCAATCTTCAAGTTCTAATTTAAAGAGACATTACTATAACTAGCCCTTAATAAATTATTATAAATTGTTGTATTTCATATGCATATTAAATTATTATGATTATTATATTTTTAATATTCATAAAATAAAAATCATTGTATATTATATAATATAGTATAAAATAGTTAATATCTTTTAGAATATTTTGTGTGATTCTTTGAAACTATTAAAGATTTAATCAAGTGCTTTATATTAATTGTTGAACACAATTTAAAGTATTATAAATTTGATATATTTTATAATTTAATTTTATATGATATTTTAAAAGTTTTTAGTATAGTAAAAATTAATAAGAATTTTTTTTATAAATAAAAAGATATTTTTACCATTACTAATACTGTATTTAATTTATATGTATTAAAATAAAACTATTAATTTTATTATTGGCTAATCATACGCGTCCTAGCAAGCAATTAAAATCGCGTGATTTAAAAAAAAAACAAAACCATGGCACAGTTTATTTCACAATTTACAATTTGTAGTTGATCGCTTAGGACGTGGTTTTTATAGCCTATATATATATCCGTCGGAGACTTATTTATGAAACATCCTTCCAAATAATTTATTTCCTCCATAAAACCACTTATATAAAAATAAATTAAAAGGTTATCAAGGAAAGGAATGAACCAATTTTCGGAATTTGTTTGGGGAATCAATTGATGGGTTTAGCCGCCGGCGCGCAATCTTACAAATTACCTTTCGGAAATAGGTGAATCAATCCATTTTTTTTTAAAAGTTAACCTAAATGACTTATTTTTCTTTTCGTGAACAATAATGTACAGTAAAATCTGTCGATAGGAATTCGATTAGGACTCAAAATATTTTGGTCAAATTAAGAAGTTGCCTTAATTATTAAGAGTCCAAATTAGACATATTTTACTGTATTGGATATAACTATCACATAAGTCGTCCAAAAACAAGGACCTGCCGTATAGGAAGTCCTAATCCTTTTTTTAAAATATTTATAATTCAGAGGTCATAATCAACCAGTCATGAATACAATCACGAACGAAGCGTACATAACATCCCAAAATCATGGTTTCGCCATTGACCAAAATACCCTGCCTTCCGATTGGAAATCCTTATTTGTTAACATCAACGATAAAAGTAACGAAGTATGTTTATGATTCCGCTTTTTATATTATCACTTTCTTACATTCAATATAATGGGATTTATTGGAAGGGGAAAGGTTAATTAAATAGATCTGCTGTAAAACTTCGGACTGAATTTTTTTCTCCTTCTTCAAACTTAGGGGGTTTCTTATTCTATTTTACTTCATTAGGTGATCAGAGGTTTTAAAATTAGTGATGGGAGGGAGGGGTTAATTAGGATATTTAAATGGAGTTTGGTAGGAATTTTTTTAAAATATATAATCTATAATAATAAACAAGGGTATCTACCACACGAACAAGCCATTTTTTACGGCTCAATTCCACCCGGAACACTTTGGCGGGCCAAAGGATACAGAATCGTTGTTTAACACCTTTTTTGATATGGTGAAACGCCATAAAACGGAGAAATATAGCATTATAACTATACCAGAATATTTTACTCGAACTTCTAAAAAGGCAGGCGAATCGAAAGTTTCTGGTAAAAGAAAAAAAACTAATATATTGCTACTTCTATATATTACGATTAAGGGTTTGTTAGAGGGTATATTAATTTGAATGCAATGCGTCAACTAGTGGTTGAACATTCCTTCCTTACTTTCTTTGAAAAAGGTTGGTGACTATTGATTTCATGATCTATTGCAATATTTTTTATATATCTTAATATTTGTTTCAAAGATTTAAAATTGATATACTTATTGTAATTAGACCATTCCTCGACAAATACTGCAGAAAGAAATTCTGTTATCCCTGTTTCCCAACCTCATAGGATTTTCCACCCTAAGCTTATCATTCTTTTCATTTATAAACTTAAACAGTAATAAAATATAACCATATTAGAGTAAAATTGACACTAGTCGAGAATCTACAAAATGAAGGAATTTATTAACAACAAAAATGGCTATTCACTTATCTAAAATATAATTATTCACAAAAATTAATTAATGGAGAATTTAGGTCTTCTTCTAGCGACAACATATATAATCTGTCATAATTTACTATTTGAATTTAATAGCTGAAAAGTTTAAAAAAAACGAATTTTATTCACGAATACCTTCATTTGCAACATTAAAAATTAGTCCGAATCCTTTAATATTACTTCATAACCGGCATAATGAAAAAGTTAAACATATTATAAAAAAACATATTTTATAAGCCACCTCTTCCCTTCCTGTTTCATGTCGCAAAGTGCTAATCCTAGGTAGCGGCGGCCTCTCCATAGGTCAAGCCGGCGAGTTCGATTACAGTGGCTCCCAGGCCGTCAAGGCTTTTAAGGAAGAAGGAATCGAGGTCATTCTTATGAACCCGAATATAGCGTCGGTTCAGACTAACTCCCCCCAGACCATCATAGCTGACGATTTGCTGCCCAATAAAACGATGCTAACTAATAGCAACAAAAAAACTGCTCTAGCCGCTGACAGCGTTTATTTCCTTCCCGTCACATCGACGTTCGCCGCTTTGGTCATAGCTAAAGAGAAACCTGATGCTATTTTACTGTCAATGGGTGGCCAAACGGCTCTCAACGTGGGAGTCGAGCTTTACAGGAAAGGGCTGGTCGGCCCTGGCACGGGAGTCAACGTGCTAGGAACGCCCGTGGATTCAGTAGTGGCCACCGAAGATCGGGGACTCTTCGCAGGAAGATTGAAGGAAATAGGGGAAAAAATAGCGCCGGGCCAAGTCGCTAGTACCATGGCAGAAGTCGATGCGATAGTACAGAATCTACTGGGAGGCCAATATCCCGTGATGGTAAGAGCCGGATTTGCCTTGGGCGGCTTGGGCTCGGGAGTGGCCAAAGATAGAGAAGAACTTGAATACCTGTGCAAAACTGTGTTTGCCATGGGAGGACAATCACAGGTATATGGGCACACTGATTTATAATTTTTTTTATTAAGTTTGAAATTTTAAAGAAATCTTAAGAATTTTAGTTTCTTGTTTGAAATTAATGATAGCATTTAAAGCAGTTAGGTTGAGGGCGGCTTATAAGGATTTTATTAGCAAAGACTAGATTTTTTAAAATATTTTGTATCTTTTACCATTAATGTCAAAATTATAAGTTCGAAGATTGTTGGCATCAATGCTAAAAGATATGAAAGCAAATCATTACAGGCATCAGCCTTAATAAAGAATATTAAAAATATAATCTTTTGAATTTATAATGCTCTCGTCGCTTTTGTTACACTTTGCCTTATACCTACAATGATTCACGCGCATACGCCACACTCCCTCCTCCAAAGCCAAAAATTTAGATGCTGGCTAAATATTTTTCAAAAATATTACTATTTTATGGATATTAAATTTATATTTTATATAATCATTCCTACTTTTTATCCCATATATATTTCAATCTACTTTTATTTAGCAAATTCACAGCACAGATAAATACGCTGCTAATTTATTCTATGAATTAATATCGATTTCAAATTTGGTAATATATTTAAATACCATTTTATAATTTCCTACCAAATAGCTAAAGTAAAATATAAAATTTATATTTAAGGTTTAAAATTTATATGGATATAAGGACTTTTTTGAATAAGTATTTATGAAAGTCAGAAGCCTGTCATCTTTACGACGGTATGGAAGAGCCCATGTAACCAATTAGCGGACAATTCAATAGGCTTCAGGTTTTTGTAAAAGGAAATTTCCAACGACTATATATGTGAAGTGTGCTAATCTTAGCATTTCTGATTCGTGTTCTCTACCAATGATATCAAATTGTTTAGGTAATTTTGTTTATTTTGATTAGAATTTCTCATTTACAATAGGTAAAATATTAGCATCTATGAAATGTTTAGATATCCCAGTCAAAATATAATAAACAGAATTATATCTGAAGTTTCTTGTTTAACATAAAGAAACATTATAAAAAGCATGCCCAACAAGATGAAGCCTTTATCATAAAAATTAACGACTTTTATAGAGCTAGAAGAGCCTATTTATAAATGCTCTTACTGAGATAAACCAATAAATAGCCTGAAAAAGACATTTCTTTAGAAGCGAATTTTGGAGACAATACTACAACCGTATTTGTTTTTTTTTGCATTAGAATGTATTAACAAATTACTTAATTACATAAGTATTTTATGTAAAATATTTGAAAAAAATGACATTGATTTGACTGAGACTATGAGAATAATTGAAAGCATCATATCGGAATTGAAGGAAATTAGGGCAATTATAAATGACGAATTTCATTAATATATGACATTGCTGAGTCATGGAGCTCTTTGAATTTAAGATTTGTCTTCCTCAACTCAGGACATTTATCGGCAGTACTTACAAATCTGCGAATATTATTGTCACGGAATCCTTCCAAATCCATTTCCTAATCTTGCTGAGAAAAAATTAAATAATGTTTATTGTGAGGATATTAAAGTATCACATGAACATTACTAACACAAACTATGATATAAAAGGTTAACTACAGTTGGTAAAATTTTACTAAATGTTATAGATGCTTTGCGTAATCTAAAACACAACTTAGAAAATTTTCTTAACATATTAAAATTATTGTATATTTTGGCAACTAGCCATTATTACAATGTAAGAACATTTCTTCTTTAAGAATAATAAAAACATACCTAAGAAGTACTATCTCTGAAAATAGATTGAATGGGTTAGCCCTTCTAGGGAGTTTACACCAAGCATTGATGAAAAATTAGGTCAATTAGAAGATGGAATATCACATTATAAATTTATAATAATGCTTCTCGATTATATTTTTTCCCATTTTTTTTCACGATTATTTTGTAAGTTTATAAACATGCAATAATTCTTTAAGTATATTTTTGTGCATTAAATCTATATTTCTAACATTTGTTTTTTTTTTATATTAAAAAATAATTTTTATATATCAAATTTTAAATGCTTAAAATATTTATATATATTTTTTTTTACAAAATTCTTTTTCGATACATTTATTTTACAGAGAGTCAGTAAGGCTAGTCCTATCTGAGACTCTTGAATAACTCTTAGAATTTTTTTTTAAAATAACGCCACCCATGATAAATTCGGCATAAGCGCCTGCAATGATTTAATATGACTAATTTTTTTTATTGACCTTTGCAATTATATTTATTCTGAATCTTCATAAAAGATTTTTTTTATTTTTAATTTAAAATAATATTTTACTCACCATAACCAATTATGGTAAAAATGTCGTTAAACTTAAATTCACGCAATTTTTATAATGTTTTAAAAATAAATAAATATTCACATGTAAATACGTACAACGGCGTTGCCTGAATTTATTTATTTATTTTTGAGATCTTAGAATATATCATATCTGAGCTAAACCTTTCTTCGAGCACATCTAAATCGTAAAAAAAAATCAAAAATCTACCCATCATTTTTGTTGTTTTAACTTCATCATAAATTCACTTTGTTATGCCTAAATAATTTTTTTAAAAATCCTTAATATATAATATATATATATACATACATCGCCTACTATATTTAGAGATATATTGCCATATTTTTAAGGTACTCGTAGAAAAATCTCTTTTGGGTTGGAAAGAAATCGAATATGAGGTTGTCAGAGATATTGCCGGAAATTGCATTACAGTGTGTAACATGGAAAATTTGGATCCGCTAGGAGTGCACACTGGCGATTCTGTTGTAGTAATTTTAATTTTAATTCTTTTTTTTTGTTTAAATGTTACAATAAAGTATAAGTAAATTAATACATTATTAATCCGCACACCCTTCAAACAATTTTTATATAATTATTAAATTATTATTGAAAACTTTATTTTGAACCTAACCAATAATGCTTAAATCAGACAGGTTGGACTATTTTGAATACTTTTTTGTATCGAAGACCCACAGAGGTCGAAATATTAGGGCCTTAAGCCTACCCCAGAATATTATATAGTTTATTCTGCCCCGGCCCGGATTTTTATGATCATTTTACGACGCCTCCGAATATTTTTAAAATTTGTTCATTATAAATTATTTTACAAATTGTTTTTAACGGAAATTTAAAACACTAGTATTAAACGATTAAACGACGGGGGATATGATATTCCAACATATTCTAACATATTAATTGATATAATTTAAATTTATTATCATTATTTTTTAAATAGCCCAGCCTTGATTTTTAAGATCATACCATTTTTTTTAACCCAGGCTGGGTTCTGAGCCTGCAGATATCTGATTTCTATTAAATAAATAGGTATCACCGAGTCAAACTCTTTCAAACGAAGAGTATCACGTTTTGCGCGAAACGGCCATTAAGGTCATCAACCATTTGAAGATAGTTGGTGAATGCAATATACAATACGCACTAAATCCCAACCCACCTAAAGATTTAGAGGTTTTTTTTAAAATAAGGATTTTTATTTATAAAGGCGAGTGTGTTAATTATTTTATTTGAATAAATCCAAAAATTACGCCCGGTTTGTACTTTATGTGGTGTAATATCGCTTTATTAAGATAGGACGAAATATTTTATTATTATATTTTATTGTCATAATTATATTATTAAATATACATACTAATGCGCGAAACAAGAGTTTTAAAAAAAAGGCGGAATATTTGAAGGTCATTTTTTGTAAACCAATAAATTTTTTTGCTTCCATTGTATTTTGAAAATTGAGAGGGCTCTCCAAAATTTTGATTGGGCTTTGAGCCATACCCATAAAAAGTTTTTTTTTTAAAATTTTTTATTTTCTAAAGGTAAATGATAATTAGAATTTAATTTTTTGTTTGACATTTTCTATAATTGACGATTTTGAATCCGAAAGAAGAACCGAACCTATTTTTGCCGAACTCGTCTTAAACCGAACCTGGTTCACGATTTTGATTTGATTTTTTAACCCTAACCGAACCTGGCGAAAAATTTTCTTGAGTTAATAAATTTTATTTACAAAAAAGTATTATTTATTCCTTTATATAATGGTAAGGGCGGATCCTCGAAAGTTGACTATTATATAGTGGAAGTAAACGCGCGTTTGTCACGTAGCTCCGCGTTAGCTTCCAAAGCTACCGGTTATCCGCTTGCGTTCATAGCTACCAAATTAGCTCTAGGTAATTTGTTTATTCTCCTTATTATATATTCATTCATTTTTGCTTTAGCAGAAACTACTCTGCCCGAATTCGACTCTCTAAGTCTGATCCAAAATTTTTCATAAATTTTTAAACCCGAACCTAATGAAATGTTTATTAACCCTGCCGGGCCCTTATTTTTTTTATTTATATTTCTACAATAAATTTTAACAACAAATTATTAGCTTTCATTTGGTTTACAAATTCGAACTGAATTCATTCGACCACTTTTTGGAAAACAGAATGTGGAACGGTTTAAACCGATCCTGACCTTCATTAAAAAAAAATTACTTCTAGTATTTATTGTGGGTACGACTAAATACCGCATTGCTTAAAGCAATTCATCATAATTAATCACAATTTTATTATATAATATTTTTTTTAAAATAAGTAAACCACAAGTTGGAGCAGTCATCAGGATTCTTATTATTATTATTTCCGTGATTTATAATATAATGAATAAACTAGTGTTGTTAAAACCGAGTCGATTTAGCTGCGACTCGAGCAACGACTGACTCAAGTCGGCTAAATAAGCCACATTAGTCAGCTCAATTAATCGGCTCAATTAGTCGGCTTGCTTAGTCGACTCCCGGGCGATTTTATATACAAAAATAAAAATGTTATAAAATTATTTATATATAAGAATTCTTAATCATAACTTTTTAATATATAGCAGACCTGCTGAGATACGATTATTATTAAAAAATAAAATCATTCTCTTTTTTAATTAAATCTCTTAACCTTATCCATTTTCATTCATTATATATATGCCTTATTTTATTTTTATACTATTCGCCTTTTTAGACATTCTCTTTTTAAATCCTTTATTTTGACATTTTAATTTATACCCTCTTTGGTCATTATTTATATTAGAGATATTTTATTATAACAAATAAAAATAATAATCTAAAAAATCAAATTTTCTGATGCCAGTCAGACGGAAAAATAAAGGAAGATAAAGTATTATTATTATATTATTAGTTAAAAAATATAAATAAAACATGATATCTAACTTTTGCATACTTGTTTTAAAGATCTTATATAAAATATAACATATTAACACAAGTATGAGATGGCACAAGGAAAAATATTTTATTGTTATATTACATAAAAAAAGACGATTTTTATAAAATCTATATTTATATTATTCCTTTTCTTTCTCCCCTGCCCTGCCTTGATGAAAGAAAAAAAAATATTATTTACTTTTTTTTTCGTGGGGTGGCGTATATTATTTTTATTTTACTATCCCTTACTTATAATTTTGTTTCATATTTTTTTAGAAATTTCTACATTTTATTATAAATTTTTTTTATTTAATTATGTCTATAATATGTCTTGTATATATTTTGATATAATATGTTTATTTAATTAAAAACAAAAAGAGTTAAAATACCAATTTAAAAGACATAGATGAGCTTTGTTATATAAATGTTTATTTTAATGTTCTGCCACGATATATGATATAAGATAATAATTTTTTCGTATTATAAGAATATTATATTTGTATATATACATATTTATTCGCTTCTTTTATTTACAATTTAACAAAAAAAGTTTTTTTTATTCTGAGAAAAATCCTTACAATATTTTTCGATTTTTCTGAAACTTTTCAAAGTTGTAGTATGGGAGGCTGAGGTAAATTTATAAGATTTCAAAATTTACAATTTATTAAAATAAACCAACAGGAAAAAATAAAAAGTTGCTTTATTTAATTTTTTCAAAATTTTAAAAACTAAAAAAAAGGATCATTATATTATAAAACTGTCTATTTATACAAATTTTCTAAATTGCATAATTGACCTTGTCGGATTATAAAAAATTATAAATTACATAGTAAATATCGTCTGATTCCCCTTATTCAAATTACAATTTTATGAACTTTAAATCATTATTCAAAATATATATAAACAAATTATATAGACGTTTCTTAAATTATAAATTAATTCAATTGAATATAAAAAAATTCACAACTGAAATAACCTTTTAATTTCTCCTACCAATCACAACGGTAGGCTTATTTAATTTTAACTATGTGAGTTTATAATCAGTATATATTATATATAAAGAATAAAATAGTGTAGAAACCACTAAATTGGTAGAAATATTTTTTTAAATCAATTTTTTATTAATAAAATATTTTAAATATTCATTAATATAAAAATCTATTTTTATTTAATAAAAGGGAAAAAATATATTTAATAAAATTTTATAATTTAATAAATATATATCCAAAAGAGGACGTTAAATGCATAATTATAAAAATATATTAGTAAACCGTTTAAGCCTACTCAAAATGGCCGATGGCATCGCTGGTGATATCCGTTAAAAAAATATTCATTGTTAAATGTGGCTACAATTAAGTGTAAAACATTGTCCCACATATTTTAAAAATATTGTGATTTTACCGATAACCGACTCATAACCGATCCAATGTATAAGCTGGCTCTTTATTAATGGAAAAATCTTCATTTTTTTAAACTCATATATTTATGAGTTAAGCATTATTCCAAAATATATTAAAAAAATATTGTGATTTGACCAATTGCCGAAATCAAAACCGACCGCTTACTTAATATTCGATCGACGAAAATTACTAGTAATATCAATTGAAAATGTTCATTTTTGTTTTATATCTCTATAATTACGTGAAAAACATTATCCCAAAATATATTTTAAAAATATTGTGATTTGACCGACAATCGACTTATAACCAATCTGGCTAAATACTGCATTGTAGTATTATCAAAAATCTTTATTTTTATTTTATACACATATATTTACGTGTTAAGCATTATTCTAATAAATATTTTAAAAATATTGTGATTTGACCGATTGCCGAACTCAAAGCCGACGGCTTACTAAATATACGATTGACCAAATTGACTAGTGATATCAATTGAAAAATGTTATATTTTATATCTATGATTACATGTAAAATATTTTCCCAAAAATTGGTTTAAAAATATTGTAATTTGTCTGAAAACCGATTACCGACCCAATAACTAAACATGCATTGCTGGCGTTATCCATAAAATAATCTTCATTTTTGTTTTATACCCATATATTTACGTGTTAAGCGTTATTCCAAAAAATATTTAAAAAATATTCCGATTTGATCGAATGCCGAACTCATAACCTACCGCATACTAAATATTCGTTTGACCAAATGACTAATGATATCAATTGAAAAATGTTCATTTTTGTTTTATATTTATGATTACGTGTAAAACATTATCCCAAAAATATTTATGTAAATATACTCTTATAAAACAAAAGTGAAGATTTCTCCATGGATAATGCCAGCAGTGCAGTATATCAGTCAAATCATTTTTTGAAATATTATTTGGGATAATGTTTACACGTAATTATTGCGACTTATAAATGGATATCACCAGTAATGGAGTATTTAGTCATAGGCCGGCTTTGAGTCGGCAATCGGTCAAATCACATATTTTGAAAATATTTTATAGGATAATGTTTTACATATAAGCATTGAAAACAAAAATTATAAGATTTCGATCAATAACGTTGTGCCGTACAGGTTTACGATTATTTTTAAATTCTAAACTTATACTCAAATTAAATATCAAAGAAACCTGTCATTTTTTTTATAATTTCTAGGTTTTCCACATGTATCTACACCCAAATATTAAAAAGGCACTAATTAATAATCATTCGTGTTTTCTAATTGTTTATTTCAATTACTAATTATGAAAATCAAGAATTGAAGGTGACAAATTTTAATTTATTTATAGTTAATCAAAATTATTCTAAAATAACATATATAAAACTGAAACGAAAAATATAAAATCAAAATATAAAGTAAAAATTATAAAACTTTTTCTTTTCTTTTCTTTTCTTTTCTTTTCTTTTCTTTTCTTTTTCTTGATTTATTACATTTTCGATTTCACTATTTATACTACTAAAATTTATATACCATCAATAATTATTTCATATAATTGTCATTTAATTTGCTTAAAATTTAAACCTTTCAATTATCATTACAAATTTTATATCCAAATTAAGTGTTTATCTTTAAAATTATAAATAACTTTTATTTTTCAATACACGTATTTGACACCAATATAATATTTTCATATTTATGCTTTTAACGCCCTCTTTTGGAGATATATTTATTAAATTTTAAAATCGGAAAATAACATTTGAGTTGTAATAAGCTAGATTTATATATTAATATTTAATCTTTATTTTTTATTTAAAATAAGATAATATGAATTTTTTCTTATTAGTTAGGATTAATTGCTTTTTAGCAATGCAGTATTTAATCATACCGAAATTTTTATTGTTACTTTCTAACTTATTATCTATTCTTTATTTTTCCCTTTTCTCTCACTGCACTTTTAAGCTTAACGCCTTTTACAATACTTTTTTATTTTTCAAATTAAATATATAATTTTTTTCTTACTTGTAATAATTTTTTCCTTCTTCTTTTCTTTTGAACAAAATATAATTTTTAAACGAAACCAAAAAAATAAATTTCTAAAAAAATAGACAACAATATGATGAAGAAAATCTGGAAAAATGACAACTGTCCTTTATTTAGTTTTTTATCTATATATATCTACTGCAAAATAAATATAAATTGATTAATAATATAATTAATCTAAAAATAGCAATTTTTATATTAAACCTTTTTAATAAAAATATATTAAAAGAATGACTGCGCAAAAAAAAATAAAAAAACATTCTTCACAAACAAAAAATGACTTTGCAATTTATCATAAAAATGACTACACTTTACATAAAAAACGATATACATAACAGTTACCACAATAAATTTAACACAAACCCCCCCCCCCCCCTCCAAAAAGCGTTTCCTTAAAAAGAATTATTTTAGCTTGGCGCATTTTTGCTCTTCCTCGGCAAATACCAATGAAACATTACTTTCAAATTTAATAAGAATCCTAAAATTATATTTTAACACGTAATACAAATACAGGTTTCACTCTTCCCGAACTTAAAAACACAACAACTGGCGTTACTTCGGCCTGCTTCGAACCCAGTTTGGATTATGTAGTGACTAAGATACCTCGATGGGATTTAGATAGATTCCACGGAATATCCAAAGAAATTGGGAGCAGTATGAAAAGTGTTGGAGAGGTTAATTATTAAAATGTTTCTTCACCTAGTAGGAAAGAGTTAAGAGTTAATCAATAAGATTGGTACATAGGTATAGCCAGGATTTCGCTAAGGGGGGGGGCTCTGTTAGTTGTGGTTTTTCCCCATAAATTTTATTGGAAGCTTTAGGACCACTTATTGTTAGTCCTGTTTTAACCTAACAGTGCGATCTAAATAGAACCATCCGGCTAAACGATTTTTTAAAATTATTATTATAAGGATTCTGAGAAAAGTTTAGCACTTTTCTGATTTGAGTCAAACTTTGATCCAAATTAAGCTATATAAGCATATAGCATATGATTTCTCATCATAAATATAACATTGGAATAGGTGATGGCGATAGGCAGAACATTCGAAGAAAGTTTTCAAAAAGCGCTTAGAATGACTCACCCATCTGTGATGGGCTTGACCCCCTTCGTTCCCCTAACCAAAACCGACTCGGATATGAAAGTGGAGATGAAGGAGATAAAAACGCCCTCTCATAATAGATTGTATATAATTGCTAAAGTAAATATATTTGCTTTTTTATAGTTGAAAACGATGTAAATGTTATTAAGTGGAAAATTCCCATGGGAACATTCTATTTATTCCCAGGAATTTTATGAATTATCCTGGAAACATTTTGTATATATTTATTTAATATATATATAGAATATGTTTATTAGCTCAGATGATAAAAAATTAACTTTGACGAATATATTTAATATAAATTGATTTAGATTCAATAAATAAAATTATTTAAAAGCACTAATTTTATAATCCATTTTTAAAATCTGTGGATAACTTGAAAAATATAGAAAAAGAGCAATAATATTACCATGTTTTTTAAAAAATATTTTAAAAAATTTGGAGGATAAAATATTTTAATGATATTATTATAGGCACTGAAGGAGGGTATGACTGTAGACGAAATTTATAAAGGGACCGATATAGATCCGTGGTTTTTGGGAAAAATGAAGAACATAGTCGACTTACAAACCATGATATCCAAATTTAATATGTATGAAATATTTTGTAAATCATCGTAATCATGAATTTTTTGACTTTGGGGCTGAGCGGACGGGATTTATTTAGTAAAATGGGTGTAGTATTTAATCTGAAATTGCCTGTGTATACAAATTCTAAGGCTGATAGTATTATATATTAATAATAGGGCTGTTCCGATATTAAATATCGGATAGGGATGGGGGGAGGGCTAATATATAAAATTTTTAAAAAATATCAGATTGGTCCAATATTTCTCAAGAAACCGATCCGATATTTTTTTATAATTTTTGGTTATTTTATGATTAAATATATAATTATATAATATAATTTGTTTTATACATAATTTCATAATAATTTATTAAAATTAATAAAAGGAACCCATATTCAATTTATTTGTAATGCTTGAAAACAAAAATTCGAATTATTTTAAAAGATCACGTAGCTTATATATTATCTGCAGCAAGAAAAAAGGGTTTAAACGTATCTAACGAATCATATTCAGCTAGATTCTATTTAGCCGATTATTTGAAAACGGTTAATTCAAGATCTTGGTCAAATTAAAATTACCCAAGTTTGAACATTTTGCTCACAGATTTGGATATCTATTGGCGAAATTTCGAGCTTGGGAATATTATTTTGGTTCTTTGATTTTTTTTTATAAATCGGCTAAATCAAGTTTTTTTTAGCAACACCGCATTCAGCTATAAATACCCACATTTTAAATAAGATGATTAACTTTTGGAGAATGAAAAAACAAAATACATTTAATCTTTCGTGAAAATTAGTTGGTTTTTAAATAAACGACAATGCTTCAAAGATAGATGATAAATGAAAATCAATATAAATATCGATATAGGTTATCGGATTGGATATATAGTAATATTGGGAAATCGATGAAAAATTTATTGATCGGCACAGCCCTATTTATTAGTATATGAATCATCCATTCAGCATCAATGAATTGAGGTAAATTGATTAGATTTCCAGAGATTTCTAAACCCCACCTAGCCAATGACCATTTTGCCTCCCCCCTCCCCCATTCGAAGATTAGGTATTATCGTCTTCCTCCTACTAAATCAATCAAAACTACCCCCACCTCTACCTCTTCTTTATTCAAATGCGATACCGTCATTATAACTACTTACCCTTTTTCAATTTAAATGACGATCTTGCATCATGCTCCCTGCATAAGCTCCTGTTTATTGCACGAAATCCGATTTTATCGACCCTCCCGGTTAAAATTAATTCATTTTATGGGCCTCCTTTTCATAAACTTGAGTCCCCTGTATGTGCAAAAATTTGGCATGGATATTACCGCATCGCAGGAATGTCTGTTGCCTATGTTTAATATAATTAGCTCTCAGTTTTATATTATTATAAAAATGTTATTAATCTCTTTTAATTATAATAATATTTTGGTATAATAATGACCCCCCTCCCACCCAAGTGATAATCTAAGTCAAGAAATCCTGCGTTTAGCGAAAGAGTACGGCTTTTCCGATTCCCACTTGGCTAAATTATTGAAATCAGACGAGGATAAGGTTAGACAATTGAGGAAAAAATTGGATATAGAACCATTCGTTAAACAAATTGATACAATGGCTGCAGAATATCCTTCCCAAACTAATTACCTGTACATGACTTACAACGCTATGGTTTGTTTATGTTCTAATATATATATGATAGACTTTCAGAGTGTTGCTTGAACCCATGCGACGCTGGACTTAAGTCAGAAACATAAAAATTGACCTTTTTTTTAAAAAAACATTGGGTAGACTAGGTCTTTTCCCACACTTTTTTTAAAAATTTCCTCTAAAAATTTGACAAAAAAATGGGGAGGAAGGGGGGGGGGTAAATGGGAGAAAATGAAAAATTAATTTTTTCTGTTAAAAGTTGAGTTGTGAGGTACACGTGAAATCTCTAAAAGTGTCCATTGTGACAACATTATAATTATCACCTCTTTAATGTGACCATCTTAAAATGACTACATTTAAGAAAATTTAAAAGTGAATTATCTATGATCCGACACTTATCAAATTTGATTTTATTATTTAGGCTCAGACGAGAATTTATATCTACTTTAGCATCATCAATTTTATTTCTTGGTATGATGCTTAGTCTTTTTTAAGTTAAGCACCTGACTCCAAAATGAAGTCAAACTCATTGTAAAACACAGGGTATGAACTGATATACATTAAGGATATCTGATAGTTTTAACTCTCAATTAACATTAATATTACAGTCTAATTCCAAACTCATAGAGTTAACTCCTTAGATTAAAATACAATCAATAGGAAGATCATGAGATTATATTTATATGCAAGCTTAGAAAAATAATAGTTTTGCTTCATTCTAAAATTACTTACTATAGTATAGCTTGAAAAGAAAGCTTTGCAATATTACATATTCCGTTCAATCTATATATATATTATAATCTTCTCATTTATTCTCTATGTTAGGAACACGATCTCCATTTTGACGATAAGGGCATAATGGTATTGGGATGCGGGCCTTATCACATAGGTAGCAGCGTGGAATTCGACTGGTGCGCCGTTTCTTGCATGAGAAATTTGAGGAAGTTGGGATACAAATCATTGGTAGTTAATCACAATCCAGAAACCGTTAGTACTGGTAAGTCACCTCGAATTATTTTATCAGTGTTTTAAATTTTGACAGCAGTTCGACTTGTACCCTACCTTAGATTTGAATTTTTTTTATCTATTTTCATCATGCATGTAAGAAAAAAAATGGTCACATATTAATAAAAATATTGCTGCATGCCACTTGGTCGGAAAAATTTCTCAATATGAACGATTTATATCGTAATTATATATTAATAGCTGGATATTATGACATGTGACAACCTCATTATTCGGGTTCAGACCGCGATTAGCATAAAAATATCAAATATTGATCTGACCTGCCTGAACCACTAAAATACATTTAAATTTTCTTCAAAAGGTCAATATCGGCGCCTGTTCAATATTATCGGTGCAGTTATAATTTTGATAAAATAATGTTTTTTAAAAAAACATAATCCGTGATATCGATGATTCGCGTCAAATTTTGAGCGCTATGTTCGCTATCTTTACATGTTACTCTATTTAAAAGAAAAAATAAATAAATTATGTTGTTTGAATTCAAGATTTTGACGAATGCGATAGATTGTATTTCGAGGAAATAAGCCTGGAAAGGATTTTGGACATTTACGAGCGTGAAAACAACCAGGGGGTCATAGTTAGTGTAGGCGGCCAGATACCCAATAATTTGGCTTTGCCATTGTACGAAAAGGGAGTTAAAGTGTTTGGGACCGATCCTCGCCAGATATATTTCGCAGAACAAAGGTTAATTTTCTTTTAAAAAATAATTGCCTAATTTAATATACTCAAAAATTGATTTTTTTTTTGAGATATGGTTATATTTTTTATTTCTCTATTTTTTTCCCTGAGATTTATTCACATTTAGTTTAATATAGTGAAAATAAAAGGCGAACGAACTTTTGAACCCTCTCCGAAATACCAAAAGATGGAAATACGAGAATGGGAATCGATTGGGAAATATTTTCGTCCCTTTTATTTTTTTTAAAAAAATATTAATTTAGATTTGAAAATCTAATCTTAGAAATAAACAAACTCCTTAAATATTAATTATTTTGTATATTTATTTCAAAAAAAAACGATGCTCTGTTGATTTAATAATAATTTTTTTTAAAAATCTTTAGATCTATTTTCTCGAGAATTATGGATGAATTGGAAATCCTACAACCACCCTGGAAAGCTATCTCATCACTGGTAAAAAAATGACCATTATATGTTATTTTACCTCTTAATTTAAAGTGTATAATTTTTTTAAATTTTACTTGTGTCATTTCTTACCCTGATAATACAAGGTTAAATGCTATAAATATAACAAATATTTCGTTTTTATTTGACATTTTTCCTACTTTTGATTTGCGTTTAGAAAAAAAAGGTTAATTAATTCATTTCAAAATTAGTAAACAATATGAAACACAGCAGTGCTCACGGGAATTTTTTTTTCCCCAGAAAAGGTCTAAGTTAACCAGTGTAGACAACAAAGGAATATCATTTTAATGAATATACAACATTTTCCTTTATAAATTTATATTGAATTTAAAATAAAGCGCTAATTTTGAAATTTTTTTAAAATACAAACACCTTTTAAAACAAGGACGAAGCCATATCGTTCGCTCAAAAAGTAGGGTACCCCGTCTTACTCAGGCCCTCTTTCGTGCTTAGCGGATCGGCCATGAACGTGGCTTACAATGAGAAACAATTGAAATTTTTCGTGGCTGAGGCTTCACGGGTTTCTTTGCAACATCCCGTGGTTATTACCAAGTTTTTGGAGAACGCTAGGGAGGTCGAAATGGACGCCGTTGCTCAAAAAGGAGAGGTTAGAAAATTAAGTTTATCTCAATATTATTAATAATAGTAGTTTATCCTCCTCAGATGATTGCCAGTTCTTTAAATAATTTAAAATTGTATAGCATATAATTTCAAAGTTTATCCATTGTTTGATCGTAAAGGTCCTCCAAATTGTGGTTTAGGGCTCTTTTGGCTGATAAGTTTGAAATAAGATTCTTACCTTTTTCCTATTAAGTAGGTTGTTGAAAACACAAATATTAAGTGAAAATAGTTTTGAGATTTTCTCTTTTCCAGCGAATTCTAAAGAATCAGAATTATTTTGCAAGGGAGGAAGGGGGTGGGGGGGGGTGGTGTGATCAAAAATGTTTGTGCATGTAAAAATCTCAGTACATCTGCTTTTACTCAAAAGTGTGGAAAAAAACTTGTAAAGTATAACAAAAATTACAAAGTAAAATAATTGCCCACATTATTTCGCAAGAAACCCACTTTAGCTCGAAAAGAGGTGATTCGAATATAATTGCGCATAATTTACCTGTTAGAATATGGCCTTAGAGATTTTTTTAAAATACATTACTGAATGTTTAGTAATATAATATTTTTATTAGGTGGATTTCAAATAATGACTGAAATATTTAATATAAAATGTTAAAATCAAATTCGTTTTACGGTTAAGGTTAAGGTTTTATTTAGGTTATTTGCCATATTTTTTGATAATCGGATATTACAAAATTCTTTTTTTTGAAAGTTTACATCACGATATTAGGATATATTTTTAAAAAAAATAAAAGTTTGAAAATTATAAAACGAAAATGAAAACTAAAAACCTTATTTAAAATTAGGTGAAAGTATCAGAAATCACAATATTAATATTATATAATGTTCTAATAGGTTAATGTAATAATTCAAAATACTCTTTATTAGATATCTTATCAGTATCACCTGGTATAGTAGAATCAGGCTCTCAGAAAAAAAGTTTACTAAATTATTATATATCATCTAACAACGAAACAAAGAGAAAGTAATAATTTTATTTATATTTCGATATTTCTGCGCTCTCTCCACATTTATATATTACCCTATCGCTTTCAAAAAATATAATGCATAAGAATAAATATGTATTAAAAATTTTATTTGGTAAATAAAATACTCTTAACGTCTTGTCTGGCTCTGGTTGGTATTGTCTTCATTTAAAAAAACATAAAATATAAATAAATTTATTTGAACGAAAAAAACATTCCAGCCTTCGTTCATTATTGCTATTTTTTTTTTAAACTGGAAATATCTTTATTACTATTTTTTTTAAAAAAAAGTACATCAAAAAGCATGCGTATAATTAAGAAAATATTGAAAAACAAACGTTAAAAAATTTCAAAAAAGACAAAATAATAAGAACATTAAAAAGGAATAAAAATATAATAAATTTGTTATAGGTCAGGGAAGACATGGAATTAATAGAGACTAAATTCGATTTGCATATAGCAATTGAAATTTGTTCTTTTTAGATAAAAACACTCATTAGGATCACCAGTTTTTAATGAGATTTTACGACCTAAAAATTTAAAAAATTTAATAGGTTCAAGTGTCAAAGTTCTCAAAAGTAATCGTTCCCAAAGGTATAATAATAATATTGGTTAAAAGGGAATATTTATTAAATTATTATGCCTCCGTTTGGATAATGCATTCCGTAAGGGAGTCGCTAGCAGCAAATACATGTATAATCCCAAGAAAATTTTCTTCTTTTTTTTGGATGGAACGAGTGTTATGTCATCAAGTCTTTTTCCTTCAGCTTTCGCGGCCAACTTACTACCCCCGGGGCTAAACGTTAGGGGGGTAAAATGGCAAATAAAAAGTCATTAAATTGTATAGAAAAAAACGATAAAAAAAATAAAATTGGAATTATGGAATGTGCGGTAAAATTTTACCATAGTTAAAAAAAATACTTGATAAAATGTACCAAATGTCTCGAATGAGCCCATTCAAGTTATGCTAAGAATCAATTTACGTGTGCTCATATCGTGAAGATTTTTCTTTTTAAAATATTTATAATTTGTAAATAATGTGTGTTCATTATAACAATAAAAATTTAGAATTTTGTGTTTTTTTTGTTAAATTTTATTATTTTTTTTATCTTATCCTCAAATTACCATCTAACCCAGGGTAGTTGGTATAGTGTGAAGTACTACTTTTACTTAACCCTAAATAGCCCCCACGGTATAAAAACGCTCCCATATTTTTTATTTATTTTGTAGTCTAATGATGTGGCTATCCTATGATATAATTAGTTTTATCCTCTAAAATAAAATTAATATTTTATCATAAATGAGCAAAACACCTATCTACCGTATAGCCCTGATCTCCCCTACTTTATTCAAACATAATCATGCATAGGAAATCATATAATACTAATATATTATATAATAGAAATAGTCAATTTGACATATAATATCAATATACAATATTAAATCCAAATATAATATATTTTTTTAAAAAATAAATTCTATTATTGAATATTAGAAAAGTTAAAAAAAAGAGAGAATTCTAAACCTAACGTAATTTGCTTTAAGGATAGCTATTGCTATTCTTTGTCTTAAATAAAAGCCTTCACCAAGCTCACCCATTTTTGTGATTTGGCGACCAACATATTTAAAAATGTTTTTTTGCCAAGTAGCCATGTGTTGTTAGGGTGGAACATTATTGGTATGAAAATATATCCAGATAAATTCGCGGAATATTTGGCTATTTTTTAAATTTTGAAGTTGAGTTAGATAGGGAGTTCATGTAATCCCAATCAGAACGTCTACTGTTGGGAAATATATTAGAAGGTTCTAATATACTGGGAAAGCCTACTGATCTCAGTACGAAAGATAACATTTTATTGTATTTAGCATGTCGGGTTTGCCGAACTGAATTGTGGTTACAATAGATGCGATTCTAAGCAATCGTCAGTTTGGCATTTGCAATCTATATGGTAATGAAAAGAGGTATTAAGCCTTTTACATATAGCATAGCTGATCCCTTGATTATTCAATTCAAATTTAAGATTTTTAGATGAGATGATCTTTAAGAATCTATATATATCCTCGATCCTTAATTAGTTCATTAAATGCGGATCTAGCCAAAGGTGAAAAGTTCGAAATGAGGTAATCAACGGAGTTTTTCACAAGTGGTAAATCTCAATCTTTCTTTCTTGTAGAATTTTGAAATTCGATATTACCTATGACAAGCTATATCCATTCCAACTTAGCCATACTTAAAAAAGGTTCAAGAACTTATGGATGTTGAACAATTAATTTATGTTTGTAAGAGGCTTGCGATGAGATCGCGAACTGAGATGAACAAAGGAATCTTAAATTTTTTGGCTTATACCAAATAATGTCTGTGAGCTACGTTTATATAATTTCTAAGAATACTTTTTATTCTGGTTTCGTATCTCATTAGATGCCATTTCTCCAAAAATAATGGGCTTGCGTAAAATAAAGGAATTTCGGGATGTTGTAGAATTCTTTATTTAAAAAAAAACTTGCTGTGAGCCGAGAGGCAAGGATGGATAAATTTTAAATTTTTTAAAGAATATGTCCATATTGCCTAAGAAAATATTAATAGGATTCCTCTCCGATGGGAGAGCCTTATAATGATACATTTTTTAAAAGTGTGTTTTCAACCCAAAAATTTTATTTGGAATCATATTAATTTTACAATACTCTGTTTTACATTTTCAGTACGAGGCGGGGATCGACGGCAGAATCTTTCATGATGCAAATTGCCCTTAAGACTTCTCCGGAATTAACATAGATGACCTTTATCATCAATATACCATAAATGCAGTGGCAATGAACATTTATATCTATACAAAACAATATTGAGCCCAAGGGATTAACCTGACAATTACCCTAATTAGAGGATAATGTATTTCTGAAATCAATCTTGAGTTGATGTTGAGTTATCATGATATTTTAAGCAAAAATGCGTGTAATATATGCCGTTGTCTAGCACTGAACTTTCCGACACTTAATTGAAGAGGAAGAAGGGTGTTAAGACACTTGTGCACTAATCCTATTAGCTATAAGTTTAGAATAATCTTCTATAGACAGTTCCGACTGAAAAATGGCCTGATATCATCATTCATTTTTTTTCAAAGCAGCAATCTTGTCTCCAAAAAGAGGCAGCCTTACTAATTCTGAAGTGTCCCAATTTAAAATCTTATTACATAACTCGGTGATCTTATCCAATAAGGTTTGATTTGTTACGATTGGCGTCTTAGTTAAATCTTATAGAAAGAAATGTTTGATGCCTTCATAACTAAGGGCAGCGTCCTTTTGAAAAGTGACAACAGATCGGTAATATTTATTTTTTTTAATATAAATAACGATAGTAAATGGATAATGTTTTGATGAGATTGCGGGACAAATGATGCAATAATTTTTGAAACAATCAAAATTTATTTTATTAATTCTAGCACAGGTCGCAAGCTGCTCATGCAGGTATTTTTACAAAATTTCGCCCAAAATTTAAAATTTTTTTTTGTAAAAATTTTTTTACAAGTTATAATCTTTTGTGATTTTTATGAACAAAGAACCTTCAGTTTTATTGATCTTCAAACATTTTTGCTCAAATTTTTGGGCAAAATCTGAAGATTTTTGTGCTTAAAGTAATAAAGTCCACACCACAATATAATTTAACTTTTGTTTATAAAAATTCTAAATATCTGAACCGATTTATTAATTTTTTTTTGATGGAGTAAGAAAAACCTTTATAGATGAGATTTAAATTGGGTTGAACCAAAATAAGGGTAAGTGGAAAATAGTTCCTTGGAAAAAATTATCCCCAATTATAATTTTAGAAAATAATTCTCCGGAATTGATTTTTTCAAAATTTTAAAATATATTATTTGAGGACTTTTATTCCATGGATATATTTATAGGAAATTATTTCTCCTATTTTTATTAATTTCGTAATTTTTAATATCTTAAAGAACGAGGATTTCTTTTTCCGGTTATATATTTTTGCATTTTTTTCCCCGTTTATATT